ACAAAAATCCCCAATCAATAAAGAATCAATGAAATCTGCAATGAGAACTAGAAAAAAAAAAAATCTCACAAACCTCACAGTACTGAGTGGGAAAACCATTCACCCATACCTGATCAGCAAAATAAAAGTTAGAGCTGTTACAAAAAATTTAAAGATTTTCAAAAATTAAAAGTGCCAGCTATTAACTATATCATGAAAATATATATATATATATATATATATATATATATATATATATATATGTGTGTGTGTGTGTGTGTGTTGTAAAATTTATTATTAGCAATTTTTCACTGATGCATGTTTCATTAAATAACATAAACAAGTTTTGTCTATTTCATGTAAATTTTTTTCATATCGTCTGATAAGCTTAATAACATTATCATAAAAAAGAAAAAAAAAATCACCATATTGATACATATTTTTTAATCCTATCTAAGCTTTTGGCTTACATAAGATGACATTACATTACAATATATTAACCAATATACAAACAAAACAATCATGATAGTATGTTTTTGTTTACATGAAAGATTTCCAAGCAATGACAAACTTGTGCATACAAGATGCTGGAAGCGAAAATCACACCGCAGCTCACACACACACACACACATATAAATACATGCTCTCAAGAAATCCACTTGAATTTTCTTCAGAAAAGAGTAATTGCTACTGCTATTAACACATTGCTCTTCAACTGAATTGAGCTCTCCAGGCCACTGGCGTATTTTGCATAGAAAATGTTAAAATTTCCCTTTCTCTCTGACATGCAACGATAGCCTAGGGGTAGGATTTCTGATGCCAAATCAGTCATGTTTTGATCCTGGATTGAAACAATTGGACATCTAGCCACACTGAAGATCTGTGATACAGCAAAACTGTCTGTGGATGACATATATATATATATATATATATATATATATATATATATATATATATATTACATAGACACACACACACACATTTTCGCTAAAGAAGCATTCTCCAATGAAAGAAGGCTCCAAACTTGAAAATAAAGTTTTATTGTCAAAATATTTATATTATCAAAAGGAAAGACCAAAGTATTTTTTTAATCTTTTATTCCTTTCTAGCACATTCAACATTTTGGTTAAAAATCTTGATTTCTTGTGTCACCAGGTAGACTAAAGATTACTGTGGAATATTTAGCATCATTTTTTGTGTTAAAAAAACACATTATTTTGGAAATTCTTGCAAAAGTCAAATAATTGTGCAATTTTAATTAAATTTTTAAGACTTACACCAAATGAATAAAATTATTCTTGAAATATTTTTTTTTTCTAAGAAAATCTTGGTAAAAATATTTTTTGATCTACTTATTTTTTTTATTAGTTAAAAGCAGGACTCTTTGGAGAATTTAAATTAACAATTTTTTTTTTTTCAGTTACTCATTTACTGAAAATCTGCTCTGAATTGTAAAGTAAAAAATGCAATAAACCTATGACATTATTTAATTAAAAAAAAGCTTTTAATTGCTTGTATAAATAAGATATATTAAGGACACTATTGACTGAAGAAAAAAAAGTTTTTTTAATGAATAATTAATTTTTATAACACTTGTTTTCATTTTTTGTTTTTCATTCTAATTATAATAATTTATAAAAAACTTAAAATTCTGTATTAATTTCCAGCTTTCAGATGATATTGTTATTAAGTGAAAACTACTAATCATAAATGAAAAAGCTTAATACAAATCATTTTTAATGTATAAACGTGCCTATTTTTCTAAGTACAGCCAACCATACATGACATTATCAGAAAATAAGAGCAATGACAACAGCAAATTTAAAGCCAACATTCCTGATATTATATTAGAGAATAATTTTCAAAATTTTTAAGATTACTGATTACTTAAAAAAATTATATAAAAAAGTGCTCACGTCATTTTCTTAAAATTATCTTTTACAGATAAAGTCTCTGTAGAACAACATTAAACCTGTTATCAGGCTGTCAACATGTCGAAACAGCTACTGCTGGGCTAAAAAGTGCATTTCAGCAATATTTTAAATTTAAAGTAAATAATATATTTCAAATTCGATTAATTATAGTTTAAATCAGCTAATATTCCTCAAATAAAGTTTTAAAAAAGTATATTTTAGTTTTGGAATATATTTTAATAAAGAGAATTACACTGTGATGAAAGACAACTAAAAAGGGTACTAATTAGCTATTTTAGTAAAAAAAAATGTATTTTACTTATTGGAAATATTAAATTTAATCTATTAGCTTGAAATTAACTCCTTCCCTGGCATAAACATGTATATACATTTTTACCGAATGCCTTTTTCAGATACAGATGAAGAAACATGCCCATAACATAATGTTCAAAAAACTAGCAGATGTGTTTATACATCAGTTTTGATGTGGTCGCAGAAATTGTCTGACAGCCATGACTGGATTCTCCTACTTGTGTGGCATGGTGCAGAGTCCTGTTACTAGACATAGGGTCTTTCAGCATCCACCCTCTTGACTCAGGGTAGCACTACCTCCTCAAGGCACTTGATGTAAGTCTCCATGTTGAGTCAGAGGCTCTGTGGGAAGAAGAATGGAGCCATAATATCACCAACACTAGTGATCACTCTAAATTCCATGACGCTGACTGGATATACCATCCAATGCTTTCAGAATTCTTTGCACTGTCCTCAAATTGACACCCATGTTTGTATTGGAGCGTCCGGTGCAAATGCCAAGCAGTACAGCATGCCATTTCCAAATTTCAGACAGAGTAAATTGCATCATGATGCACTTCTTCTCACAGACAGTGCCCAACTGACCCTGCTATACTGTGCAATTGACAAAATCGAAAACAAACAATACGCATGTGCAAAATTAAAAATATATAATGGCTACAATTTATCCATCGCACCCTGTATATGCATGTAATTTTTAATCACTTAATTGTTTTCATAATCTGATATTTCTGTTTTTTCAAGTCACTTCATCTTTGAGGAGATTGTCCACCATACATTTCCATATAGAAGGACTGATATTACATAACAGCTCAGTACTCTTTTCTTTGTTTCTGTTGTTTCACGTCACTTCTTCATCTGTGAGGAGATTGTCCACCATTCATTTCCATATAGGAGGACTGATATTACGTAACAGTTCAGTAATCTTTTCTTTGTTTCTGTTGTTTCAAGTCTCGCCTTCATCTGTGAGGAGATTGTCCATCAGTCACTGCCATATAGGAGGACTGATATTACGTAACAGTTCAGTACTCTTTTGTTTCTAATGAATTTTTGTTTCTTAATACTCTGCTTAGATTTTGGAGTTTATATTTGTCTCTCCCAATGTGCATTCAGATTTTAGTTTTGCACTTTCTGTCTTCTGTTAATACCCTTCCAAAATATTTAAATTGTTATACTTGGTTGATTTTGGTCTCCCCAATTTATAATTTGCATGTTGGACTCATCCTTCTGCTAACAACCATGCATTCTATCTTCTTGAAATTGATGCTTAATCCTTTTTCTCACTTTCCTTCACCATTTTCTGTAGGAATTCTTGTAGTTTCTTTCCTGTGTCTGATAAAATGCACTAATAGCATAACTTATGTTGTTAAGATTGTGACTGCCAATAATAAATCCTGGTAGGACTTCTAATTCTCTCAGTATCACCTCACTGTTGTAGTATCAGTGCAATATTCACCTCTGTGGGAAGGTTCCAAACTAGCATCCAGTTAGCAGACAGGAGTGAGCAAGTCATAATTCAACACAGCTCTGTATACTCAAGCAAACAATGGTGAATGGATATTTATCTATCACAATATCCCCACTAGAACCAGCAGACATCCAGGACTCAGAGAATGGGATTGCCTAAGTGGCAGACTAGAACATTCCAGCTGTTCTAACCTCTGGGTATTGGAGAGCTTACAAATATAGCAGAGCACTGATCTGTTTATTCAATAACTGTAGAAACTGAATAAAACCCCTGGTCTTAGACCCCTTTATATTTTTGTATATTTACTGAATTCGATTTCTATCCAGATACAAGCAATTTGCTGCCAGTATAGGTTCTTGATTATTTTAATATAAAAAAATATGTCCAAGGTTCACTATTTACATTATTCGGACTATTGTCCTCATATTTGTTGCCATATTTATCACAACGTTTTGGCCGTTGTATGCTCCGTTCTTCTTCACAGTGGATAAAGGTGTTAGTTAGATCCAGTGACAGGACCCAAAGAGAGCGATTTCAATACCTTGTTAAGGCGGTGTAGAACTTGGAGAGGGGAATAGGAGATAACTGATAACTGACATCCATTAGACATGGCACGTGGAACTAGAAACAGTCAAACAAAGATCGAAAAAAATAAAGGGTTCAGTACATTCTAACCATTAAAGAAGGTCGGAGCATACAACGGCCAAACGTTGTGATAAATATGGCAACAAAGATGAGAACAATAGTCCTAATAATGTAAATAGTGTACATAATACCTCATCTCAGAAATATAGACATGTCCAAGGTTGCTGAGCAGTTCTAACAGAATTTTGTTACATACTTTATCAAATGCCTTTGCTTAATCTATAAAACATGGGTACACATCCTTCTGCATTTGTATTGCTTTTTCTGATAACATTTTGATTCGATATAATTGTCCCAATTTATGGCAGTGAAAAAACAGACCGAGAAGTTGCAATGTGTTACTCAACTGGAGTTTAAAATGAAAATCTCAAGTCTACCATGAAAATTATTTAAAAACGAAACAAACCTCAAAGTATTGATTGGGAAAAGTATTATCACTAAGAAAAAAAGCTGGCAAGTAGACTCTTGGACACACCATTCACACTTACTTGATCAGGCCAGGTAGTTAGAGCTGTTACAACTACTGCCAACAGCAAACAGTTCCAGCCATTAGCTATTGCATGTAAAATGTCAGAATAAATTTTTCAGTAGAACATTAGACATAAATATCCTGACTGCAAGGTTTCATCAAAAGGCTGACTTGGAGAAAGAACAAAAATAAAAGTAAATATGTATATACTTACTTGGTCTTGAAAGAGCAGAAAGAGTTATTTATTATACTCCATATGACCTGCAAAAAAGAATGTATATCATCATTAATCATACAATACTAATCAGAATTCATTCTTAATGTTAAAATCCAGCCATGCTTAAATGTGTGTGTGTGTATATATATATATATATATATATATATATATATATTCAAGCATTTGGTTGAATAACCTAGACATATGCCTATTTTTATTTTAATCCTCTCAAATTCAAAGATCAACTTCTTAGTGTTGTTACAAAACTGATTATGAAAGACGCCATAGTTTTGATCATTTCTTTTATTTTCCCCCCAAGTACTTTCAATCTTATTCACCATCATCTTCAGGGGTAAATTACTCAGACAAAAAATTAATTATGAATATAGCAACAATGTTTTACAATGTCTATACAAAGCAATGTTTTGGGATGCTCAAATTGTTAAACAATTTTTCAAAAAAAAAAAAAAAAAAAAATTTCAGGATGAACATTTTAAAAAATCAATAATAAAAAATATAATTAAGTAACCTCCCTCACATATTCATAATGTTAATTTTTAAATTGACTATAATGGAGCGTGTTTCATGCTTATTTACAAAAAAAATTAACCGCCATCAATTACACCAATTTTTGGGTTTATATCGAGTACTAAGATAGGATCCATGACACCACAAACAATGGATCGAAGAAGACCAAGAGAAAGACCACTTGTACACCTGACCACAAAAAACATCCTACAGGCTGTTGGAGACAATCCAGATATCAGCACACATCAAGTGGCCCTAGTGTTGCCGTATATCTCATAGTACCACATTGAGGGTACTTCAAGAGCAGCTCCTGTATCTGTATCATTTGTAATGTGCGCGGGATCTTTCACCCTTTGATCCCTCACCACAGGAGAACTTTTATTTTTATTGTACAAAACACCGATCTGTTTGTTTTTTCAGTCTTGTTTACAGCTGAGGCAACACTTGGAAGAAATTGAATACACAACCAACATTTGTCAGCAGATCAGAATCCCCAGAGTACCATACAGGCTAGACACAAATATCAGTTTACGATTAAAGTGTGGGCGGGAATTGTAAGTGACTGTCTGGTAGGTCCATATGTTCTTCCAGCACGTCTTACAGAAGACGTCTATTGGGACTTCATTTCAAAATACACTTCCAGACCAGCTAAAGAACATATCCCCGCTAATACAATGACGCGTGTGGTTCATGCATGACAGGGCTCCAGCACATTTTAGTCATATTGTTTAAGATACACTGGCTGACATCTACCATAAAAGATGGAGAGGTAGGGGAGGATTTGTTCCAGAGCCTGCACATTTCCTCAACCTCAATCCCTTGGATTTTTATCTATGGGGCCACATGCAACAGACATTAATAATGCAGAGATGCTTCATCAAGGTATCATGGGGGCCTGCGAACCCAGTCAACACTATGTGGCAGTATTTGAAAGGGTTCACCAGTCAATGGTCTGACCGGTGCATGCGTGTGTAGAAGCAAGCAAGGAATATTTTGAACATTTGTTATAAGTTAGTGCGATGAGGTATAGTGATGGCTTTTTGGGCATATGTTTATATTATATAGGAATAAAGTGTTACTGACGATCGCCAGAGAGCAAACACGGGTGATCCCATTTTGAATAAGTAGATCACATGATAGTAAAAAAAAAAAAAAATAATATATATATATATATAAAATTATTTATTTAAAAATGATTCCATCGCTACATAAGAGTTCTCATGTTTCAAAACGAGTAATTTTAATAATGAATATGCTTATGAAACATGTAAATTTCAAGAATTAGTTATTCCAAAAAAAAAAAAAAAAAAAAAAAAAAATTTTGCTTGAAGATGGAACAAAGCTTGGTAATTAAAATAATTATATTGAAGTTTTCAGCTCTTGTTTTGAAACATGAGAACTCTTATGTAGCGATGGAATCATATTTTTAAATAAATAATTATATTTAGACTCTACTTTTGTATCGAGCACTGTTTTTTAAAAATAATAACAAAAATACTAAAGAACTTCGGATTATTTACCTAACGAGTTCTTTCCTATTTTCTATATATTTTCATATCATATATATATATATATATATATATATATAAAAATGAATTAGTGTGACATTTAATGGATCACCATTTCTACTCTATCCTCTATTATTATATGGTTCACTATTCTCTATACTACTTCTCTATGCTGATCACTACACAGATCACTATTTGGTAGTTACTATTCAAGCAAGTATTATCCAGTAAATACTATTAGTGTGAGTGATATTCAAAGGTGTCTGAAACCAGTATTGTTCAACGGCGTTACTATAGTTGTATCTGTGATTATAAAGTCTATGCTACAACAAGCATTACAAAAGTGACGAGTATTCATTGACATTATGAAAGTTTATATGGACATTTTACTGTGTTTTGGTGCAAGGAACCCACCGCGAATGTTTGTAAAAGTATTTTTGGATTGTACATTTAATGGCATCTAATGTAAATATTAAACATAATAACTCAAAAACGAAGGTTTTGCAGACATATGTTTATGTGGACTTTTGTTCTTGCTTTTGGGGTGAGGAACCCACCCCCAAAGTTTGTAAAAGTATTTTATTTCTGATTGCCTTTGCCCTGAAAGGAAATAGTATTGAAAAAAATAAATGAATTAAGCTAAAAGTACACTCTTCCTGCATAGTATGTACACGGATAAAGTTATCATAAAAATTGCAGGGTATAAGTCGAGTTTTCAAGTCTAAAAACATGTTTGGTTTACTGGTAGATTAGTATATGTTTTTTTTTGGGAGGGGGTTATATGGTAAGTAAAGACCTATCTCAAAATTTTGAGCTAAAAATCTTGAGGTTGACCGTAACTTATAGTAATATGGTGCAAAATTCAAGTTGACAGTTTCAAATTCTGTATAGAAAACAGTGAATTACCTGCCTTATATTCTTAAATATTTTTTTTTGAACTAGCCTCATATTCTGAACACTCTTTAATCACAAAGAAATCTTGATGGATCTACATGATGGTATAGCATCAGTCAGTAATGTGCCATGCATGATACACGGCGATCATGTAACTTTCAATACATGACTGACAAGGCAGATTTTTTCCAGCAGTAGGTTGCCATTTCTTTCTGCAGTAGGCCAGTTGCCATCCAAGGCTATAGAACACAGTCTGTCCTGCTATTTATCCATAGCTGGGATGGGAGAAGAAGAGAATTCATACTTTTCCCAAGGATATTAGTCGGTGGGGCATGCGTAGGATGTGCACCCTTCAGCTTACTATACCAGCAGAATAAGGGGGCAATTCAAGAATAAGTTATTTACAGTGAATTGTTTTCTAGTGAGTCTGAGTGAAAATGTTAATATTTCATTTTTATTCTATTTAAATTTTCTAATGAATCTTAATTCTATAGTTAATGATTGAATAAGATTATTGAGAGTTCTACAACAATAAAATATCCGTAGAAATTCCCCTATTTCATTGTTAAATATTTGATTGGTTTGGTTTCTTTTACAGCATATCAACACCTCAATGGGTCATTTAATGCTGACAAGATTTTTATTGTTGGTAATATTTTTCTTTTCAAAAATGTATTGCTGATAAAAGTTTTTTCCAAAAAAGTATTTCTGGTATTGAAACTTATTTTTATACTTTCATAGTGTTTTGACCCCTTTTTTTTGGAGAGGGGAGTTAACTATTTAATGGCTGAAATCCTGACAAGTGCTACCACCCCAGGTTAGGGTGGACCTGAGAACAACAGCAAAGTAGTTCCATGCTCCTCAAAACCTTCCGATCAAAGGCCTTGCTGTCAGATATAGTTTATCGTCAATACCGGGGACAGGTTAAATATTCAAGTCTGACAAATTTAAACTTAATATTGCAATAACAATCACAAATATGAATGTTGGTTGTTATTTCAAAAAGTAAGGGGGTACAAGTGAGAGGTCAAATCATATAGTTGAGCTTAGCAACTTTAACAAAATATTGCAAGAACAATTATAAATATGAATGCTGGTCGCTATTTTAAGAAGTGGGTACAAATAAAAAAAATTTGAAATTGACTTTCTCCATTTCATTGAAACAGCCTTCCCTTCTTTCTAGTCAAATCCCCATCTTACAAACATTTCTCATGATATTAATTTCAAAATAATTCAGCAGACGATGTTTATTTTATTTATGATAATTGGATTTTTGGTGATTGCTAACTTGGTTTTTATGGTGTAGGGAGAGCGACCCCGAGGGAAACAATTACGGAATTAAGGAGGAGCTAACTATGACAATGAACAAGCACAATAGTATTAGGATCCTATTATAAAGAAATTTATGTAGGGAGGATATTCCAAAAGTCAAGACAATAATGTTTCTCTGAATTCTTTGTCCGAAAATATTTTCCCATGTAAATATTTTTCTACAAGATTAAATTTCTTTCTGATGTAGGACTTTTCAAATCCAAAGGAAGACGATGAATATGAAACCAATTTAAAATATTTAAGGAGTGGGTAGGGGAATATGAAGGAGGTTAATCAGTATTTTATGAAAAAAATTATTTTAAATTTAAGTTTAAAATATTGAATTAATTTACAACACAAAAATTTTCAGTAATTTTTTATTAAATTTTACTTTTATAGCTGGTACATTTTTTTTTTAAATTAATTAATATCAAGGGGGGTGTTTATAGAAAAAATTACTTATGTTTTTAAAACTGACCAAGAAGTGCCCTCACTCACAGAAATCATAATTTGGGACGCTAAATTAGAAGATTGTTTTTAATTTTTAATCTCTCTCTTTCTCTCATTCAATATGAAAAACTTCTCAGAATTAATCTGTAGAAAAAGACAATACAATTATGAAGGAAAAAAGACAATTTTTTTCCCTATTGTCTTGTTTCCTTGTATATATTGAATTTGCTTTTAAAAAATATTCTTCAGTGATTTTTAAAAATATTTAAAATACTGACTTTAAAAATATTCAATGATTTTTAAAAACAGATCCGATTAAACGTGTTTTCAAATTATAATTTTTTTTTTTTTTCACTTTTTAACATCGCTAAGAAGAGATGGCATGTTGTTTTAAGTGGACATATACACATGCATGATTTAAATTCTAAGAATAGGTTTACCATAATTTCCAAACCTTAAAACTGGATAGTTTTCATATTTTTATTGTTAGGATTTTTTTTTCTTTGTAATAAAGCATTTTATTTTGATAACACAACATTTCTTTAAAAATTAAAAATGTCAGATCTGGACAGACAATAAAAAAAAAGGTAACGTACGGTAAATGGAATAGAAGAAAATTATCGCCAGCATACAGCATGCCAAAGAACAAATGATGATACAAAATTGTCAAAATGACCCTAGATAAATATAAATCAATATATAAGAAATATACTTACATCATCGTGTTGCATCGTGATATTTTCGTTGGAGTTTCTTTATCCGAGTAAACTAACGAACTGAAAATATCAAACACGTGGTTAAAAGAGGAATTTCATTAACATTGAAGACGACTCCTAGCGGCAATTCAGGAACGATAACTCACAATACATTTCTGATTTTTATTCCTCATGAAAAATCGTCCTTCTATTGAGATATACAAATATAATGATTAAAAAGAAAAAAGAAAACGTTAATAACCGAAATAAATTTTTAAATTCAAAGAATTTCGAACGCAAACTTAAATTTTTTGATTAATGAAATATATAAGTCAGTGAAAATTTTATTCACTTAAAATGATTTAAAAAAAGATCTGCAAGACAAGATTGCCAAGCATTCCACCATAACAAGGCAAAAACCTAATTTTTATCCACCATATTGTTAATGATGTAGCTAAGCTTGTACTCAGAGCCAGCGTATACTACCTCGGAACCCAGATGGACTCTTGATTGGTTGACAAGGCTGTGATCAGCCCATATAATTATTTATTTAAAAATATGATTCCAACACGCTACATAAGAGTTCTCATGTTTCAAAACAAGAGTCAAAAACTTCAATATAATTATTTGAATTAAATTGAATTAAAGTACTAAGCTCTGTTCCATCTTCAAGCGAAATCTTTTTGGGAATCTTTTTTTTGGAATTTTCATATATATATATATATATTTAGTTTATGAAAAACTAGGTAATCCGTATGGGTAAACCTAAGGAGGATAAAATCCAAAGAGCTCAATGTAAATCTAGAGCAAATAATTTAAATAAAGACAGACCACTTTAAGTTTCCATGTAATAAATTATTTCACCACAGCCCTTTTAAAGGAATGCGGATCATCAGACTTTACTTAAAAAGGTTGAAAAAAAAATGAAAATCAAATTAACTCATTTTTGAAAAAAAAATTAAAAAAAATATATATATATATATATATATATATATATATATATATTTAAATTAGACAAAAGTTCAAACTTTATTTTTAAAAATTTTTATGTAAATACATTGTTTTTAGATACAAATATTTAAGTAAATATCTGTTTATAAAAGAATGTTAAACTTAAAATTTTTATCTTAAACAATTTTCTTTTCTAATTTTAATGTGATTGACGTCATTTGTTTACATTTGATATATTTTAAATAAATATCATTCATTCTGTGGTGCACTCTGTGGCTGAGCAGTCTACAGCATGGCCTGGATCCTATGAAGTAAAACATAGTTTTGAATCATGCCAGAGATCACTTTTTACTTTATCAAGTCCATCAAATATGCAAGCTGGCAGACAAAGTTCCCCAGGACATGTAATTTACATTGCCAAGGCAAAAAAATTCACTTGGCTTGATGTTACAGATCCATCTGATCACGGCCATGTCATTATATATTATATGTATAAACCTTCTAAATAATTAATGAATTTATTTGTAATCCAGATATTTTTATTACTCTCTTGCTTCTGGCTCCATGCATTCCAGCCAATTTTAATCTACATGAATTTAAATGCAATGCCAATCGCTATCAACTGTCCTCCTGATTGCTCTTTTCTCTTTCTACTAATTACTGATGTTTCTGTTCCTAATTCCCTCCACATCTTGTACCCACTTGCATGCTCATGGCTCTACTGTCTCGCTTGGGGTGATAATGATTTAAAAAGATAAAAAAGGAACTCCACTAATAATATTGCCAATTCTTCTTAGGATCAAATGTAATATGTATTGTCTACAACCTGCTGTGGGCAGTCAAAATGGACCCCACTGCCAAGGTGCAGAAATTGTTTTTGTTTATGGGAGCATCCTCCACATCAGTGGACCCCTTCCAGGTGACTGGCTAGTTGCATGCATGGCAGTTCTCACTCCAGATCTCCAAATGCAACTGTCATGAGGGTCAAGTGCAGTGAGCTTCCTCACATTCTGCCAGCTTCCTCCATGACATCTTGGACCTCCCAGGCACTCACTCTCCTTTAACCTGAAGGTCACAGTGCGCTTGATAGGACCGCTGGAACACTCCACATGTCCATACCAGTGAAGTCTTCTATCTCTCAGAATGAGATTGAGATTGTCATGACCAAGCCATGCCAACAACACACTCGAATGCACAGTGTCCACATCCTCTGGCTTGATGCTACAGATCCGTCTGATCATGGCCCTGTCATTTTGCATCAAGTGCTGAAGGCTTGTTCTGGTCAAGGACCAGGTCTCACTTGTATGGAGTATCATTTTTTACCTTTACTATATGTTGCAAGTTCACAGCCACCTGTCACAGAGAGCATGTACCCCAGAAGAATGCTACCATATCCAACTTGTCAGCTCCAACCAAGACACTGGTCTTTTTAGTAACTCAACTCTCTGTTCACCTTCACTGTATTACCCCAACCAATGCTTTTATCCTATAGGCCATTATATTTCTTGGGAATCAACTGCACAATTTTGATTTCCAAAAGTCCTTAATCATGTTCTCCTCTATTGGGAGGTCTTATTAAGAAGAGGAAAAATTTATGTTCAAAAAGTTTGTCCGATGTTATATGAATCACAGATATTTTGTATTTTTTCTGATAATCCTTCACTTTTTTTTAAACAGACAAAGACACACATTTCTGAGTGTTGTGAATAAATTTGCAAATCTGGAGTAATGGATAGCAGCTTGGATCAAGAATTCGGAGAGTCGAGTTTAAATTCCAGTCAGAGCCATTATATTCACTTATGTGCTAATACCCTTGGGAAAGGTATAAATCCTCTTCTTCTCCCCACCAGCTATAGGTATTTAGCAGGACAGACTGGGTTCTATCATCCTTGGATGGCAACTGGTCTACACCAGAAAGAAATGGCAACCTACTCTCAAGAAAAAAAATTATTTCATCAGTCACAATCAAAAGATACATGATCACTAGAAACGTGTATCACACATATCCACATAACCATGACTTCCTTGAGGACATCTAGTATGAATTTTTGGGACTTATAAACTTAATGCATCAGTAAACATTTTTTTACCATAGCTCATATTACAATTTGTTGTTAATATTGCTTTTCTCTAGCACTCCATATTATTGGTTCCCGTATTGTATTCATTTTTATGCTTGGCCAGTTTAGGAGACTTATGTGGCCTAGCATATGTGCTGATTCCTTAATTTTTCGTATTTTCCAGTGATGTTCTGTCTTTTATTTCAACCTTATCCCACAGGGGGCAGTGATCTCCCTTTTTCCTCCATATATGGTCAGCTATGCCTGATTTTTCTATTTCCCCTCATGTTATGGCTTTACGGTGTTCCTGCTGTCTGATCTTAAGTGGACAGCCTGTTTCTCCTTTATATTTCTTGCCACAACTGCAGGGGATGATGTACACACAGTCCTTAATCATGTGCTCCTCTTCTGGGAAGTCTTACTCAGAAGAAGTGTTTGCAAAGTGTTGAAACATTTTTGAAGTTTGTCCGATGTTATATGAATCACAGATCTTTTGTATTTTTTTCTGATAATCCCTTTACTTAGGGTAAACAGACAAAGGCTGTTTTCTGAGTGTTGTCATCCATTTGCAATCTTCTATCCCTGTTTGTCAGATCTGCTGTCATGTACACAGGGTAGTTGTTATACTGTAGAGTACTGCTTATACTGACCATTTCTTGTGCATGTGTCTCTGGGGTGCCACTTATGACTCTTGCTTCATGTTGTAGGCAGGAGATGATCCCTTTCTTTACACTGTATGGTTGGTGGAAGTTGAAGTCAAGAAAAATGGTTACTGAAACATTAGGTTTATAAGTACCCAACAAATCATACACTGAAGTCCTCAAGGATACATGGCCTAGTGGATAAAAGCTTTGGCTAAAGTAATCCATTGACTTGACTCAAAGAGTTGTGAGTTCAATACCTGGCCACAGCAGAGATGAAACAACAATGTTAATGTATTTCTTAATAAATGGAGTTTCTTTAGTATTCACTAATATCTTTGGTAGCATTCACTGGTTTTTGTTAATCTTCATTAACTTCTTTCTTAATATTCATTGTTATATTTGTTTGTATTAAGGCAAAAAGCCTGTAAATAATAAGGCAGATTGGCCTTTATAGTCTGGCTAGGGTAATCAATCTATAATGAAAACACTGAATTCAAATCCCTGTAAATAATAAGGCAGATTGGCCTTTATTTTCTGGCTAGGGCAATCAATCTAGAAGAAGGAAAACTGAATTCAAACCACTGTAAATAATGAGGCAAATTGGCCTTTATAGTCTGGCTAGGGCAATCAATCTATAAGGAAAACACTGAATTCAAATCCCTGTAAATAATAAGGCAGATTGGCCTTTATTTTCTGGCTAGGGCAATCAATCTAGAAGAAGGAAAACTCTGAATTCAAACCACTGTAAATAATGAGGCAAATTGGCCTTTATAGTCTGGCTAGGGTAATCAATCTATAAGGAAAACACTGAATTCAAATCCCTGTAAATAATAAGGCAGATTGGCCTTTATTTTCTGGCTAGGGCAATCAATCTAGAAGAAGGAAAACTCTGAATTCAAACCACTGTAAATAATGAGGCAAATTGGCCTTTATAGTCTGGCTAGGGCAATCAATCTATAAGGAAAACACTGAATTCAAATCCCTGTAAATAATAAGGCAGATTGGCCTTTATTTTTTCCATTAGGGCAATCAATCTAGAAGAAGGAAAACTCTGAATTCAAACCACTGTAAATAATGAGGCAAATTTTTTTATAGTCTGGCTAGGGTAATCAATCTATAAGGAAAACACTGAATTCAAATCCCTGTAAATAATAAGGCAGATTGGCCTTTTATTTTCTGGCTAGGGCAATCAATCTAGAAGAAGGAAAACTCTGAATTCAAACCACTGTAAATAATGAGGCAAATTGGCCTTTATAGTCTGGCTAGGGCAATCAATCTATAAGGAAAACACTGAATTCAAATCCCTGTAAATAATAAGGCAGAATGACCTTTTCAATCTTGGAGTAGAAGAATTCTGAATTCAAGACCCTGTAATTGATAA